ACATGCATGGCAGGCTGACTGAACAATCAAAATTGTCCCTTGGTGTGAGCGCAGATGGTTGTTTGTCTGTGTGCCCTGCGATTGGCTGGCAACCAGTTCAGGGTGTCCCCCGCCTACTGCCTGAAGACAGCTGGGATAGGCTCCAACACCCCCCGCGAACCTTGTGAGGATAAAGTGGATCGGAAAATGGATGGATGGATGTTCAACTGTGTGCAGTTTGACCGTATTTTGAGATACTATACACCTAAGCTGGTCATGAAAATAGAGCTCTTCATGCAGGAGTGGAGACACTTTTTTCAGCATGCGAGCTACTTTTAAAATGACCAACTCGAAATGATATACCGACTTTATTTCTGTATTTATTTACCTATTTATTATTTTAAAATATAATTGGGTATATGTTTGTGTACCTTGCATAAGTGCATGAACCCTACACACGATGAGGCATGCAACAAGCATGAGTGGTTGCCCTATAGGTCTATCAAGTAACACATTTCAGAACAGATGATAGGCAGGAGTCGACTTTTTTTAAAACTTATTCTATTAGCACATAACTGATGACAGTCATGCCATGAGAGCTATCAACAGGAACGTGCACATTCACATGAGTGAGTGGCGTGGCAGTGAGAGGGAGGGCAGGGACAAGTGAAGTGAGGATGCATTCAAACCTTGCTAGCAGTTAGAAAACTGCAAACTCCCCCTTTAACAATTGATTGCACTTAAAATTCCTGTGAGTGTGTAATATTTGGCAGATCTGACAACTATTCTGAGTACAATAAGTTGCAGATATATTTCTTTCTAAAGTAACAAGATTAATTTACTTAATTTATCCTCATGGCTTCAGGATTCATGTCAGCAAATCCTAAATTTAGTCTTGGAAATCTTTGTATCGAATCCATTTGGAGAGTAAATTCAGTCAACTTTTTGTCCCTCAATGATTGAATTTTGAACCAAGCAACATTTAATGCTTGCCTATTTCATTTGGAAAGTCCAATAAAACACTTGTGTCCTCCTATAAACTATGATCTAAATATGACATGCTCTCAAGTATATTTGACATTGTTCTTAGTGTTGAGGCTCTTGTATTCACTTCTGAATTCTTCGTCTTACAACTGTATTCCGATGCTTTGCTCCAACACATCAATATGTTTTTTGTTATCGTCAACTGAATGAAGAGCTCAAACTAGTGTGGTAATAAAACCAGATGGATGATATGCTGCAGAACCACTGCCCATTTTCAGAAGCGTTTCAGCTTAGTCACACATTTAAGCTTCATAGCGGGAAGATGACACTGATTAAAGTGCTAATGTTGTCCTGCGTAACTCAGTGGATCAGCTTTAGAACTCATCTCCCACTGAGACGAGGAACAGAGACACTCCCACAAAATGGTCAGTGTTATAGAAACATCGATAACAGATAAGCAATGTAATTAAGCTCCAAAAAGTGAAGCAAAACTATGAATTGCCTCTAAGGATTTGATTTTCGACAAATGAGCTTTCTGTTTCACTGAGAAGTTCGGCAACTATCCATCCATCCATTTTCTGATCCGCTTTATCCTCTCAAGGGTCGCGGGGGGTGCTGGAGCCTATCCCATCCATCTTCGGGCAATAGGCGGGTGACACCCTGAACCGGTTGCCAGCCAATCGCAGGGCACACAGACACGAAAAACCATCCGCATTCACACTCACACCGAGGGACAATTTAGAGTGTCATCAGCCTGCCATGCATGTTTTTGGAATGTGGGAGGAAACCGGACTACCCGGAGAAAACCCACACAGGCCCGGGGAGAACATGCAAACTCCACGCAGGAAGGCCGCCTTCCTGTGTGGAAGAACTTGGAAATAAAACTATTATCACAAGTGAAAAGCCGTCAGAAAAGCACCTTACCGTAGTTACAAGACTGACTTCATCGTTCATTGGGTACCCTTGCACAATCTAATCTTGCGCATGTGACATAACACTGCAGAGGTGGCGTTCCTCTGCCGGTACGGCTCCAGTGATGTAATGCATTACAAGCTAACGAATAACGTTAGCCGATATTCAGAGCAGCAATAAGCAACAAGGGCAGGAACACAAATTGAAGCTTTCTCGCCAGATTATTATGCCCAATAATGCACAGACAACAACTGTGTACTAACGACAATTTTGGTCCTCATAGAACAGGCGCCCCACTACACTGTGTCATTGCTGTCCTAAAACTAGTTGGAATATGCCAACGGCTACGGCTCATTGAAGCCGAACGAATTGTGAGTAATATTCCTAAACATTTGTTTTTATTTTGGTCCTTGAAAATATGTCCTCACAAGAAAATGGCTCGTGTTATGTAGGTGTGTGCAATGTGGATTGTTAATTATTTTCTCATATTTCCTTGAACAAGATACTGAACCGCCTTTTTCCTGCTGTTGCTGTTGAAATTGTGTCAACATTACTCAAAGAAGGAGATAGTGTCAAAGCAAACACTGATTACTCTGAAGGTACATTTCACAAGTGAAAGCCCATTGCCCTAGTGGTTGTCCTTCCCCCTGGAAAAAAATGGTGTGTTGAATTTACAGTATTATTTTGTCAAGAGGATGCACAAAATGAAACCGTCTGGATCCAGATACATTTTTTTTTAATCTGTAGTCAATTTAAAAATTGTATCTGGACTCAATTGAGTACGTTTAGCAAAACCTTTTTTCAATGTTTATGTGCCCTGTAACTCACTGGTGATTAGTCAAGGATTCTGTCCACCTTTAGCCCAAGTCAGCTGGGTATTGTCCAGCTTCCCCCGACTCTGTACAGGATATGCGGTATAGAAAATTGATACTTAGATGTATTGTTTGTGCGTATTAACACTGACGTAAGAGTAATACAAAACAAAGTCTTATCTTTGCAAAGTTGTTTCATTTTGTGCGAATTAGACTGTACCCATGTAACTAATAGGAGTAGTCGTATTTAACTTGCTCACAGAAAAAGCATCTACTGTGTAATTCTACTCAAAGCTCTCTACTGGCATGAAGCAGTCAAAAACCAAACATTAAATCAATGTTGGGCCCAGACAGTTCAGGCCATGCAGAGACACAACAGGCACACTCCTTTCCTGTTTCAACAGCTCAACATCTTTTTTCGAACACACATGCAGACACGCGAACACGTCTCCTGTCCCTGCTCACCCCGTCTGCATGACTCATCAGCACCCGTACTATGCCTCTGACCTATATCTGTCCCACCTGTGTCACCGTACTGTTGACTGACCCACATTCCACTGATCCAGGTACTTCCATGCAGTGACCCGCGCCAGATCCACACGAACAGCAGTCGGTGGAGGAATGCTGGTTTCCCTGAGAGTTGAAACTCTTCTGCATTAACAATTGCAGATTAATTATTGATAAACTACTCAAATACATCACGATTGTCACTCTCACTTTTGGTCCTGAGAGTAACATTTTCACATTTGTTTTTCAAAAGGTCTTAGGTTTTACTATTAATAATGTTTGCCTCATTTTTATCTTTGTTTGGCAATTAAGAATGAATGAAATAATTCACGAGATATGGAGTTTAAACACACACACACACACACACACACACATCTCCATGATCTGATCCACTTATCCTCTCTCATCTGGTTTCCTGTAGCAGGTTGGGGATACCCTGAACTGGTTGCCAGCCAATCGCATTGCACACATAAACAAGCAACCATTCATATTCACAATCACAAACCCACGCAGGCAAACTCGACACAGGAAGGCCGGAGCCCGGAATATATAATTGCAATAATCGTAGTTAATTTTCATTAGTTTTGTAAATGAAAAGCAGCGTTTTTCTTATTTTACTTCACTAACAAATATAATTTTTGTCTTTTAATTAGTCATTGTTAACTATTATATATATATATATAGATAGATAGATAGATAGATAGATAGATAGATAGATAGATAGATAGATAGATAGATAGATATCTGTTGTTACTGTTGGGCGGAACTCTCCGCAAATTTAATCAACTTCACAATATTCTCACAGATAGATACTATGGGTCAGTTCCCCCATTGGTCTGTTATTTATTATTATTGTTATAATTATTATTTACTTACTGATCTGTCAAAAGCATTGGCAATGGCTCAACAAACATACAATTTTGGTTCGAACCTTAAAAGGTTTTGGAGGTACAAGGATTCTGCTTGATGCCAATATTATAATAGTAAATGTTCTTGTGCCAAACGCGTGCGTATATTTTTCTTTTATCTGTGAAAATACAGAACAGTAAGTCAAAAGGTATGGTTGTATTCCTCTGCAGCCAGTAATATATAGTGACAGTGGCTGTGAAAGTGATGCTGCGGGACCATGTGGTATGCAAAAGTCAGAGTGACGAGGCGGGGCTTGGATGCTAACAACACCTACTACTCGCTCTCATTGGTTCTCAATGACATCATTGATAGGGGCTGCAAAAAGAATGAAAGGAGCTTGAGTCTTTCTCTCTTCCTTCAAACTCTTCCTTGCTAGAATTATTAGCTCAGGTTAAAAATCATAATTGAACCACTTTTTTACCAGTTCAACCATGCTTGCCTGAATTGACTTCAACCTTGAACATAATGTGTCCTCTCACCTGACGACCAAAAAAACTCAATAAAGAAGTTAAAAAAAAAAATTTAAAAAAGCTCAAATGGCACTCAAGACATGTATATTTAAAGCTCCAAAAGTTGCTCGATTAAATGTAAATAGAACAATTGTATTTTTGTTTTGCAATGCCATAATAGAGTATATGAGCTTTATGGCTTCCATCAGGAACCTTAACACAACTCATTGAGCATTTATGTAGTTGTGCCCATTGCCTGGCACTTCACAATACAGTCATTTGTCCACATGTGTGAAGAAAGCTTGTTTTTGCACACAGTATCGCCAAACAAATTATATCCATTTGAACTGCAAGCAGTGTGTGCAATGATTGTTGGAGAGGGTCTCCAACTGACAAAGACAACGCAGTGGAAAAAGTTGTTGAAAAAGTATGAAGTTAGGCCACTTACTATACGATGGAGGATCAAAATTCAATACTCTGCCATCCCGCTGAATATTTAATCTCCAAAGTATATCCAGGTTTTTAAATTTCCAAGTATGACTCCCTCAAGGCAAAGCTGGGGTTTAAATCCTGAGTCCTCATCTTCTCCCAAAATAAAAGTGTTCTGCCTCTTAATCCTCAAAGCTTCTCCGTAGATGACTCCGGAGTTCCTCCGTCTGTCTCCCAAACAGCTGAAGAACATGTATCGGTTGGGTTCGAGGTTCCAGCTAAAATCAAGAACGACATGGGAAAAAAATGTTTTAAAAAAGAAAGACTGACAGCAAAAAAAGAAAGACAGGCAGCAAAAAAAAAAATAATAATAACCTTAAAGTGGTCAATTCGTGGTTGATTGAAAATAGAGAGCAAATGTTTCATAAACACATCATACGAGTCCTCATAATACATCTCCAGCAAACTATTTTGACTTTTGAGATTTGCCAGATTGTCCAAGTTTGCAAGTTGGGATAGAAAGAAACTATTCAATAAATCTAAAATGTGGTGTTAAGAATCAGGGAACAAATAGTGTATAGAATGTATGTATAGAATGTATGAATTCAAACACGCGTATACTTGATAAAGGAAAGTTTTTGTTGTTGGTGTTGAGTTATATATATATATATATATATATATATATATATATATATATATATATGCAAAATATGGTGTTGGGGGCTGAAACTCAAGTAAAAGATTGTCTGCTTGGAGATCCCGAGGCTTCATTCGTTTCATGTGCTCAAATGTAAGTAAAATGTATTCTATGTATAAAGATGAAAACAAAATAATTAACACTCATTGAAAATCATTTCTCACTTGAAAAAAAGTTTTTTCATATAGCTTTATGCACCTTTCTTTAAGTTTTCTTTGTATAGACTGAGAACAAAGGAAGCTTTACTGTAACAAAGAAGCTGCTGAGACTTATACCTGTTGATCTGTTTCCAGTAAACAAATGTGAAGTGTCCAACTAAAATACACATTCTATATCGCTTAAACGAAAACCTTAACACCCCCGTTGATTTTAAATGAATTATTAACTCGTGCAACAAGTTTCTCCTTCTTCTTTTCTGACTGACTTTACACCTGATTACGTTGTTCTAAATTCCCATAGTGCGTTCGGGACCCTCGCGGGAGCGCGTACATATAGAATTAGCAGAAAATACTGTTTGCATGAGGAAAAAGTAAATATAAACAATAAAACCATTTTATTCCCCCCTCCTCGCGCACACACTAAAATGTCGCATTTGCTGTAAACTTCTGATAGACAGGCAGCTGCTTTGTCTTGAAGTCGCAACATCCCGAAGGAATCAAATAAGGCATCTAAACAAACTCAGCCTCGCTTCCATGAAAGTTTACAATCGTTAATTGAAATAGACATACTGTACTGTGAGCATGATGACGTCGCTTCAAGTAGTGTCCAAAAAGCTCGAGACAGAGCATCAGACAAAGGAAAAGAGGCACCGCTCCTCTCTCGCTCGCTCTCTTTCTCTCGCTCTCTCTCTCTCCCCCCTGACTGCCACTGTCTATGTCGCTCTACCTTTGCTGCTTTGTGCTCAAGTTTGAGCGCTGACGCACCAACAAGAGCGGCAACTTTTACTGGACAAGAACACACAAAACCACGCCTGGAGCGCGCGCACACGCAAATATTCCTCTCTGGGACAACTTACCTGAAGGTGCTCTGCTTCCTGCGTATGGTCATGAGTTGTAGATGACCGTGAAAAAAATACAATAAAAATAAAGTTTGTTAGGACACATGCAGCTTTGTGTTGTGAGGTCCCCCCTTTGTCTACACGTGTGATAGATGGATGGGGCTCGTTTTGGCCGCGCCTAGTTCATTGCGCTCTCCAAACAAGAGTCCCGCCCTCTCCGAGTCAAACTATGCACACTTCAATATACAGACTCTGCTATACCAACAGTGTACATTGTGGTTATTAAACCACGTGTTCAAATGCAACTCAAATCAATATTATTGATAGAGTGCAAGAGTACATAACTTATCAAAAGCCACTTTACATATGAAGCGGCTCTCTTGCATATTTTCACAAGAAGAACAAGTGAAGCTCACACTAGCAAGTAGTGCATGTGTCAACGAGCCAACAAAAGCACAGCAGAATAAAAGAACTGGGTAATGCGTACCACAGAACCTTGTTTTTAAGAGGGACATGAAACGTGGGTCTGGGATTCAGGATACCACCATTTTTACTTCTTTAGAATATTGCTGTGACTCTGCTTGAAAACGATTAAGTATGATGTGTTCCGCCCAAAAAACAGGCAAGGCCTTTATGGCGGTTTGGAATGGGACTACAATTTGCAGCAGATTTCAAACAGCTTTATTTTGCGGATTGACACTGAAGAGAATAGAGTGTGCACACAATGGAATGGCCAAATTATTTTGGATTGCTGTTGATTGTGTTTCATCATCAATTATTATCTGCTACTAAGAGTGAAACTTATTGTGTTTTAAATTCATACCCAACAGCAAAGTGTCAGATATAATAGCTACATTGATTTTTTTTTATTCTCTTTTTTCTTCAGGAGATATTGAAGGTCAAATGTGAAGATACACAGCATTTGATAAACTTGCAATATCTCTTAAGCACCAATATAAGAGTTACTTACATCAGCACATCTACCTCTACAAACACAATAATGCTCAGTTACGTCTAATACTGTCCAGGAGGTATTTGTGTGATTGTGTGTAGTTTGTAGTAGTGTAGAGCCTCCTGGTAGGCTGGGCTACATTATTTATACACACAAGACACACAAAATCTTGTGTTTCGTTTTGCAGAGCTTTACCACTGTTTACTGCAGCTTCCAGTCAAAAGCTAATATGTAGTTACATCATCACAAACTCATCAGGTACGTCCTCAAACTGTGCCCGTTATTGCTTCTTAGTGTACTGCTATTAAAGCTTCAATTGTGCGTGAAAGTAGGCATGAAATAGGATAATTGCATGAAACAATCCAAGGGAGGTGGGGGCCTATTTTCGGAGACAAGTCCCTGCGCTTGCTGTTGGGACCACGGTGCGCCTCCCGGGTGTTCCTGGACAAGTAGCTGCCGCGCCCCCAATGCACCTTTGGTCACAGAAAGTAGACTGCGCTCAGCGTAAAAAACTGCCGTATCTCCATTTTTGTGCCGCTACAAGCCTGAATTTGGTAGACCACACTGTGGTTCACTCGTGATTCTGGCAGACCAAGGACATTTGCTGTTATACTCCCCCGGCGCACCTGCCAGTTTGATGAGGAAAAAGTAGCCCAACTTTTAGACTACCTCAGACCAAGTCTAAATGGCGGCGCAGACGATGTAACGTGATTTTGGTGAATTTGATCGAGTTGCAGGCAGGCAGATTCGGGGGTCCGCAGACATGTGTGGGAGATGTCATCTTATTTCATTCATATATATGACAATAACGTGAGACAATCCCTCTGAAACATTGTAGAAATCAATTCATTGAACAAATTCTAAACATTCTGATCTTAAAAATCTTTTAATAGCACCCACTGACCGCGTGTCAACACTGAGGTTGGGGTTGGTCACATATAAATGCACGATCGGGGGTGCAAGGCAGTCTCCAATTGCCCATGTCACATGTCTACTGTCTACATTACTTTTAGCACCATGTCCCCAAAACCTAAAATGTTAGGGAAGCAAGAAGAAAATGTAGGATTGACTTGAAACATAAATAGACACATTTCCTCTCATTTTCACCGTATTACCGATAAATACTTTGGCAATAAATGCTAAAACTGAATGCAGTGAACTGTAAAAGTAGTCTGGGTGTGACGGTACAGGTGACCTACAGTAAGCTCTGCAACTCCGTTTTTGGGCCACAGATCAGTACATTTTCAATAATGTACATTTCAGAGTTACTTTGTGCATAATTGTTGTTAAAAATCTCTCAAAATACCCTTTTTATTTTCCATTTTGTGTTGTACAGGATAATATAACTGTTACTTAAATACAACAAGTTTGATCAGTGAATTGTCTCTAATTCCTTGATGAAATACATACATGTGACAATACAGTAATATAACATATGCATTAGGAATTAAAAATACAAAAATATAAACAAAAGCAATACTTGTTTGGCAAATTAACATATGCCTAATCCAATTGTCATGAGGGTAACGCGTTTTCATCAAGTGACCACCCCACACATCTTTGACCACAAAATATCCCTGCAAATCCTAAGCAGTGAATGCACTTTCTGCATAGGACGTCCAGCAAGCGTTTTAACAGTTTATGAACACAGCAAAAGCTTGTTCATATTGTTTGGGTTTCCTTTCAATTTTGAGAAATGTAACTCGTACATCTCTAGGAACTAGTGCCATTATTGTCATCAAATTGCATGTTGCCCACATGCTGTGAGTATAGTATCGACAATCGCAATTCATTCGGTTTCTCTCCTTGAAATACCTTGCTGTAGTAAGATATTATTTGGGATAATTGTAAACATTTTCACAGTCCTCTATTCTTTGCCATTCTTCATTGTTAACAAGAGTGATGTGAAAACTGTAGATTTGCACGCTAATCCGCAGGCCTGCCTCTATTCAAGGGTGGTCATGCACCCCAGCCCCCGCCCACAATCCTCACCTCAAACAGCGCAACCCCCACTCTCACGCACATTGGTCCGCTTTCCTCTTTTGGAGATGTTGGCTGGCAACCCAACTCATTTACGCCTTATCGTCAACAACTGGGGTGAAGTGTGTATTAGAAGATTGTCAGCACAAACAAATATTGAATAATCATTGAAGAAAAATCTGAAAATTTACAGGTTGCGCTTACACAAAAATTCAAACGCACCGTCTCCAATTTTCGATGCAAAATGCGATCATTTCAGGACAGTTTGGAAATCTGCAGCTGTATCAAGAGAAATATTGAAAATAGGGCAAAACACATAGATTCAGTCTGGAACAAAACCTGAAATAAAAACGAGAGAAATACTGATTCCACCACTGCTTTGCCCCCCTGGGAAGAGCACTGAGCAGATAGGTCGACACAGAAATACAGTCATGGCTCTCTTTACCCACCCACCAGCACAGCTCTTATCCCCCCTGCTGTGGTTTTACTGGACCACTGACTCCAGCAGCGAGACTGTTCCGCTCCACTCTGCTGTGCCCCAGCTCATGCCTGCATCTCTCCCACTGAGGAGTCAGCTGAGCAATGCATGAGCCATGCATGAGCCTGCACACTGAATAGGCTTCATACAGCTTGGAGGAGCTTAACGCATACGCAGAGGTGCCAGTGGTCTTTGGAAATGTACAAGATTATATGGCAAACTGGTGGTATCATTATTTGCATGCATGGTACATGATGATATTCATCATCAGGGGGTTGAGAAATAAAGTAGTATACCACAGCTAACACAAAATGACTGCTGAAAGGAAGGTGAAAATATTTAGATTCACTGCGGAGTCAGTAATTACACTCAACCATGCACTGTTGGAATAAAATGGATATATCAGTAAATTGCTGCGACGCTGCAAGGGATCATACGGTTTCTGGGGGAGGGAAAAAAAAAAACAGTTGCAGATTCATCAAGCTATGCCGTGAGCAAACACTACTGGCAGCAGTATCTCGTACACGATTTGAAAACACTGCAATGAATCAGCCTTTTTGAAATTTGTGATTAAATCCGTTCCTTTGCTACTGCGCAATAGGAAGAAATCTTCCAGCAATTACCTTACATCGCGAAGTAATTACACACTTTGACTAATTCAACATGAGGAACAACCTAGAAAGATGACGAAATACAATTCAATGAAATGTCTTCCAAAGACGGCACGACAAGATAGCAAGAAATAACCATCACGGTAGGTAATAGCGCTGGACTGGAGACAAAATGGTCACCATTTCATCAAGCGTATTAATTTCGTTATATAATACACAAACATAATCGATTAAAACTTGATGCATGCTCATTTAAACCACTATTGCTGACTGAAGGCCATGAACAACCATCAAAAACAAATCTGCACCCCATAAATCATCACAGAGGAGGCAGACATATAGTGTCTGCTCTCGCTGTGGGGATATCCTTGTACTGTCATTCATTTCATGCAATAGAATTTTAGCCATCACATAGACATGCACACGTGCACACACACGCACACGCGCGCACACCAGATATTCACAGACCGAGACAGGCAGACATGCTTGTCAGTGTGCTGGAGGGCCCTTAGATGACTGCTGCTAAACCAGCCCTTCCCCCACAATAAAGATCTGTCTGGGAGAGGGGGAAGGGACATCATGACTGTCTGAACATCAGACAGCCAGCATACAGCATAATGTGCCAGAATGGAATCTCTTGAAATAACAAGTAAGGTCCCAATCTGAATTGAAATTGACCATGAGATAACTGATGTTGTCAGTTAGAATCAAACTCCTCACTTGCACGTTGTACTTCTGATTTCATCATCACTCAAATCAACAGTTTACAGTTGGATAAAAAGATGCCTTCAAACACGCAACCAAAATGGCTGCAATTGGTATATACTGAACACTGTGTGCTTTCCATTTGTTTTTTGTTTTTTGTATGTGTGTGTTTGTGTGCCTGAAAAGTCTGAGCTTTTCAGGGCTGATACACAATGGGTTGCAGACAGTACATGTGAGCCTTATCAGCAGATGTCACCTTGTGCATCACATTCTATTTGGGCACCGCTCAGAAATGGTACAGTCTATGCATTCATTTTGAATACATTATGATGTGAATCACACACACATTAACCGGGAACACAAATCTCATACTTGACGTGATGTATTTAAAATGCACGTTCATGTGACGTTGCCAATGTCAATTTAACTGTATTCTAACCTCACTGCATAGGATACTTTGTCTTATTCATGTTTACATTGGTAGAAGAACAATTATTATATGAGCCATTAAAGTATTTGTCCATTAGTGTTTAAGTTACTATTAATTTACCTTTAAAGTCACAAACTAATTCAGAAATGTTTGGAGGAGTTTACAGTAAAATCAACTTTGACGTCAACTGTTTACATTTGAGCCATTCTATGCATGTATGTCACCGCTTTGATGCTCATGTCTCTTTTAATGTACACAATATACAGTAAAGAATCATACCGTATGAATCACTATTGACTTCACTGAATCATTTTGCCAGATGTATATGCAATTAAGTACAGCACTTGTGTGTCAAATCATACATGCTGTATGTAAATCATTCTTTGTCAAAGTGACATGAGCGTCAGTAGTTTTATGTAATCCACTCTGACTGCCAACTACTGTAGATGTTAGTCGACCAAATTTGCATTTGAATTTGGATTCAAAGTCGTTTGCTATAAGAAGTTTTGATATTTTAGATGTATTTAAATTGGGTCAAGAGTTGGTTGTCATTAATTGGGGAAGTGTAGTGCTGAAATACCAAGTACCAGTCGGGTAGAGTGAAGGTGGAATATCACGATGAAACGCTGCAAAAAATAAAAAGTTCAAGAATCAAGAAAGGATCACAGAGTTTCAGTTCCAGCTGATATTTATTTCCTTCCTTGAAAAAGTTCTGTACACAAGTTGATATCAACAATCTGACAGGCAGTGAATGAACACAATTTAGCTGGCATGAGTGCTCCTCCCTTTCTCTGAGTCTCAAAAAAAGGTGGTTCCTTTGTTTATGGCATGATTAGAGACAATACATGATAATTCTACACAGCATATTGCACAGGATGGATGAAAAATAAAGTTAATATACTTAAAAACGATTTCATTTATATATATTTATATATAAAAGTCCTGAACTGACTATCTTAAAAGTAAGGATGTAGAATAGATAGTCGTTCGAGACAGTGCCTGTCCTTGATAGCAACAACATACATAAACACACAATCTTTTTGCTTTATGATACAGACAAATATACAAAGATTGAGTTGAATTTTACCTCATTTTTTTCCATTTTTTTCTGAAAAACACAACAGCTAGGTAACCTGAATCCGAAATACAAATGCTATTCACCATGCCATAAACATACTAAACAATTATCTATTAGTAGCCAACAAGTAGAAAAGATTATATATTCAAATACAATGAGAAACGCAGTACAAGTAGTTGTTGCGGAACTCAAGTCAGAAATTTGAATATGCTTGATCTTGAACTTTGTTTGCTGTCTAAAAAGAAAGCCGATTGAATCCAGTGGCTGGTGGATGAGTTTGACATCAATTCATGAAAACATCAAGAAAAACGTCAGTTTTAAAGCTACTATCTCCTCATGTGTTGTTGTAGGCAATATATCAGAAAGACAGTTAAATAAAAAGGAGTGGCTGCTTCAGAGACCGACTGTTAAAACCACATGCTCCACAGGAATAGCTTCTGGCAATAATCAGTTCATGTGTCTTAAAGAAGCCTGTAGACTGGCACTGTAAACAGTAAAAGGTAGTCTGCCACAGAGGCTGGTGCTGCATTCAGGGGCTATTGGGAAATTAAACATTCCATGAGTTTTCTCCTGCATTCTTAAACATTATAGGTCTGAGATAACAGTACGAGATTAGTGACAAAAAAAAAAAAAATCAAGAGTCTTGCTTATGATACTGTGACAAAATTAGAACTCTCTATTACAGCTCTATAACTGATAAGGGTATCTGCTTTGTGAAAATAGCCAAACATAGCTGAACAAAACTCAACATTGACCACCACAGTGTATTATGGTACGTTTTACTCATTACCAGTGGAAAGGAATTTGAGCAGGCAATTATAAAAAAAACAAACAAACAAAATCACAAGCTTTCCAATAGACCTTGAAAGCAGCATAGAAACCAGCCATCTGAGCTTTCAAAATCAGGAAACCCAAATGTCACTGAATTACGAGGCTCCACAGATCGATTGTTGACTCTTCCTTCTCCATATAGATTTGTACAAAAATACACTGAGAAAATAATCAAACCGTTTCCTATATTTTAAGTGTCCAAAAGTGTGTACATTTAAATATATGTATTAAAAAAAGGAATCAATGTTGTGTGTTTTTAAAATTCTAGCCCTTTGCCTGAGAAGAAAACGTGACATAATGACAAATCATTGTGTGAGAAAACAAAAACAGGACTAAACATGAAATAAAAAAGACAAAACTGCTTGGCCCAGTATATAAATACAACATCCCATATAAAATGGCATCTGAAAACATGTACAAAACAAAGCTCTGTGGATGAAAATAAAAATTGGTGAGGATTTTCAATAAAATATTATCTGAAATGATAATTTTGGTCCTGAATAGTAAAGAACATGTGTATAAAGTTCGGCACTGATTTGCAGTTGCGTTTGAATCCTGAAGTTTGAAATATTAAAACAGCTGGTGATCATTTCAGTGTCATGGTATCCCTCAAAACATGTTTTTTTAAGAGACGAACTGAGGTTTGGCTATCTATACCTTTAACTAACCCTAATACTGTACTATTTGTAACTGCTCGACAGTCTCACATGTCAGCACAACATAGGAACAAAGAAAGCGATCATGCTTAAACGTGTTTTTTGTTTTGTTTTTGTTGTTTTTTTTTGTTTGTTTTTTTTTCTTTTGAGAAGATATCAAACTTGGGGAAAAAAACAACCCACCTTGGTTTCATACAAAATCCCTCTGTGGCCAAACGTGAGTAAAAATGTCGCACGGCAATCCAGAGTTATGTACCTTTTTAGTGGTGAAATTCACTTGGCAAATCGGTAAAAAAAGTTGTGAAATGTCCCATTAAAAAATAATCAGCAACAACATTGATTAAGTGAACGGCGGACCGCATAACGTGCAAATCAATCACAGTAAAGTTGTTCGGGTCAGCCAGTTCACCGTCAGTCTTTTCTCAAACAGGAAACCGAAACCAGTGTTGCGATTCTGCCCGTCTCGCTTGTTTTGCACCGCTCCACGTTCGCCTGTTCCACAATCCTCCACAGTCCGCACATTCAAAGCGAAGCCCTTTTTCGGCTTTAAAGGTTGAGCTTTCGAAGCACTTTCAGACGAGAAGAGAAGCCATGGCGCTAGTTTTCAATGGATACTACTGGTCTGGCAGTTCGGAGACAAAACGGGAGCTGCGCACCGACTCGTTTCCAGGACTCAGTGCTCGGTTTGTGGGCGTCGGTTGTGCTCACCGTGGTCTCAGTATGTGAACACCAGGTTAGAAATGGTGGACTCCAGCCAATCCCCGGAGATCATTTCACTGACTTCAGGCGTGCAGTAGTCGGGGAACTCGAAGTGGGAGCCTCCTGAGCCGGACTCAAAGTTCAAATCCAAGTCCCTGTCCAGAACCGAAGAGCCAAAACTCCCCAGCGACATGCTGTCAAAGCTGGGGCTGGGGTTCAAGTCGAGCAAGTCGTCCTCGAACTCTTCGTCCTCCGAGGAGGAAGACGACGACGAGGAGGCGGAGCAGTGGGAGCCGGAGGGTGTAGGCGAGGAAGCCCGCCGACTGCTGTACGTTTGGCCGCCTTGACGCTCCGACGATCCTGCCGGAGGAGACTCGCTTCCCTCGTCCCTGCCGCTGGACACGTCCTCGTACAGGCTGAGCGGGTCGCTGGAGTCCGCTGAGTTGCTCAGTGTAGGACTGGCCGGGACTGTGACTGACGACGCGAGACTGACGCTCAACCCGCCCCCGTAGACGTGGTACACCCGCTTGGCCTTCTTGCCTTCCGGTACCTGCTTGGCTGTGGACGACACCGACTTGGACTTGAAGAGGGGGGTGCTGTTGTTGCGGTGGTGGTGGTGATGGTGATCCGGAGGCTGCTCAGAGGCAAACTGTGAGGCTTTGGTGCTACTGCTGTTCCCGAAAAGTGATTTGTGGGATTTGCTGCTGGGTGATTTAAGTCCATTTTTCCTCGAAGATGAGGACGACTTAATGCTGGTGCTGTTCGAGCTACTGTTGACTTTTTCGCCCTTTTCCCCGGCACTTCCTGGCTTGGAAGCGCTCGATTTTACCTTCTTCCTGGGCCGGTACTTGTAATCAGGATAGTCCGCCATGTGCTTGAGCCTCAGCCGCTCCGCCTGCTGGATGAAGGGGATCTTGTCGCTATCTCTGAGAAGCTTCCATCGCTTCCCCAGCCGTTTCGAGATCTCGGCGTTGTGCATATCCGGAGACTGCTCCATAATCTTCCTCCTCTCGATCTGTGACCACACCATGAATGCGTTCATGGGTCTCTTAATGTGGCCGCTCGGAGTTTTACACCACGCCGGGTTGTCTCCCAGCTTGTCACCGGCGGTCGAAGAGGCTGTGGAGCCTGGGGAGAGGGGCGAGTCAACGGGGTCCAGATCCATGCTCGACCCGGAGCTCGAGTCTCCACTGAAGAAGGAGGAAAGCGCGTCCGCGGTGCTCTCTGCGTGGCTCATCTTCTGCACCATGCTGCCTTTTTTCTCCGCGCACTTCAACGCAAACTCAGCTCTTTTTTTCCAGTGTGCGAGTTGAGATAAAAAATAAAATAAAACAAAAAAGTCACTCCTGTGATGTGTAGTATAAACTCAGTCCAGTTTGGCCAAACACAAAGTTTAACTTCCAGACCCTTTTCGGTGTCTGCTTTCTCTCCCTTCCTCCTGTCTGGTAAAACTCAATTGAGCCGAGTGTGCCCAGTTCAACACAGTCTATGCGGCTGACCCTGTGGCCCCCACTGCAAAAGGCTTCCAGTACACTTATATTTTTTTTCCTCGGGATCAGCCTGTGTCCCCTCTCCTAGAGACAAAAGCCAGACATGCTGGTGAGGGAAAGTAAAAAAAAAAGAACTTAGAGTGAATAACACGGTCCGCCCTCCATCTGTACACTTGTAGCAGAGTTTCAAGCAGCCCTCCAGTCTCGTCTGCCTTTGCATCCATTTATCCCCTCCCGAGATACAACAGTGATAAAAAATAAGCCAATGGGAGTCTGTCGCTATCCTGCCTCGGCGCCAAACCGACGCCCATCTCGGCGCTGATTGGTCCAAAATGGAGTCTAATAATAATCAGCGCGTGCAATGAGCAGCCTCGTGTCTGACCTCATTCCAGACTACAAGAAGAAACTTCACATTTTTAAAGAGACACTGGCTTATGTTATCCCCCCCCCCTTTTCCACCATGCCCATGTGTATGTCATTAACATACGGCCATAAGGGAAGCAAAGTATATTTTGCCATATGGAAAGTTTCAGAAGAGTTTGTACCAGTGGGTAAATGTGAAGAAAAACGCACCTAGTTATATTAACCTTTTTTTCATTCTGACTGGAGAGCATATCACATAACAAGGAGTCTCTGCAGGCAATACACTTCTGCTGAGTCAGAGAAGCATTTAACATCTCCTAGAAAAAGAAAATGCATATATTTCAATTGATTGCCAAATAGGGAAATTTGCTATAGAAACATATAGTTAATCTATCAGAAGCTTCACAATATGAGGAAACAATGTACTCCATATATTTTATTATTGTCACTGCTGAAATGTGTGTATGAGTGTGTGTCCAAATGTGAACACGTTGTTCAACATCATCATCTTGAGCAACAGAGCAGTTGAGCCTCTCAGAATAATGTCTGACACCTCAGATGGTTGGACTGATTTGAGAAGCCTCTCCCCCTCTCTGTACTTCTCTCTCTCTCCTCCCTCCATCTATCTCTCTCTGTTGGGCGGTGCTTTGTAGGAACACAACAGATCAACCCACTGCAAGCACACACTAGTCAGGGAGAAGAGAGTGTATCTTGCCAAGTGTACAATGACTGCACACCCATTCAGCCAGTGTGCACGCTCCAATACACGAGCGCGCGCGCGCACACACACACACACACGCGCACACACACACACACACACACACACACACACACACACACACACACACACACACACACACACACACACACACACACACACATTTTGTACCAGAGAGAAAATATTCCAGTGGGAAAACAATTTGCACTCGTATCCATGTCTATTGTTTTAATTGGTAAAATACAAATACCATCTACATCTAAACTGTTGTTACTGTCCTGCATTGTGATCCCAATGAATTAAGACTAGACAATTTTATTTTAAAAGCCCTTAAAGCTGCCGCTGCTGCACTAGTTCTCCCTGGAAAGAAGCTGCAAAACATAACATGAGAAAGCACGTGGACAGCCGCTGACATCCGCTAGATGGCGTCGCAGAGCCAGACAGGGCTCAGCTCGGCTTTTTTGCACTCAGAGAATTTAGGCAACAGAAATCAGACCCAGCATCAAGAACTTTTAGGGTCGTGTGTGTGTGTGTGTGTGTGTGTGTGTGTGTGTGTGTGTGTGTGTGTGTGTGTGTGTGTGTGTGTGTGTGTTGGGGGGTTACATAATGCCTCTGTACAATAACCATGACACTGGGAGGGTGCCTGGGCATGTTTATGGAATTTAATTTGGACTGGGATGAATTGTTGAACTTTCTATTCTTTTGACCCACTCTCATTTTGGGACAATTTCAACATTGACTGTGGAAGTGAATGTGAATGAAAATAATAACAATAATAAGAATAATAATAATACTGTAATGACCTATGAGCTGATGGCCTTCTCACCATCAAAATAATATGAAAAGCGGGATGAGAGAGATTAAATGAGGCAACCACACATTCTGTTTCAAAATGAGAATCAGAGGTGACTTAGACCACCAGTGTGAAATTAGTATGGAAGTATAGTCACCAGTGTTGCTGGATGCATTTCAGTGGGTACAATTATACTCAATATGGCCTCATATCTGCAGTGCATCCAAGTAAAGCAATGGGTAATTGGGCTCCAATTTGTGTGTTCATAGAGCATAACAGCAATGGAAATAAGAATGTTAACTCATAAACTCACTCTGCTCCTAAATGCCATTTTAATAAGAGACTACGAGAAAATGTAAATGTCCTTAGAAGTGTCTTGATGGAGTGCTGGCATCGTTGGCAGCCTTCAGGAAAGGTGCACCTAATGAAGTGTATGTATAAAAACCTTATGTGTTGCATAAGTAAGAATATTACATACGATGATTGATCATTGCAAGCGTCTGTCTGCCCGTTCACATGTATCCATCCATCCATCCATCCATCCATCCATCCATCCATCCATCCATCCATCCATCCATCCATCCATCCATCCATCCATCTAGCTATCTGGCCATCCATCCATCCATCTGTTAAAATGTCTTTCCATCCGAGCATCAATCATTCTGTCTATCTGCCTGCTAATCAATCTGAACTAACACTCAATGCAACATTTTTACCAGGTGCCCTGTTTTCTGTTCTATTCTACATTTTGCATCATATTTGAAGATCTTCTCCACCTGAAAGCAACAGTATTTTTGCATACCTCTTGCCTCATACTCGGTTCAAGCATGTCTTTTTCTTTAGTAACAGAACCCTGTCTTTTTGTTTCTTCCACTGTGCACACATTAGTATGCCATGCATGCAGACACACACATGCACAGACCCAAACACACACATATACATGAGCTGGAAAGAATGAATGGTTTCAAACTTTCCTCTTGCTTTTTCAGTCACTCTCTTTTACTGCCATTGTTCTAGTGTGGTGCAGCTGCCACGCGAGTTGGAGTGGGTCGCGTGCCAACCCTAATCTCAACAGGTGTTCTTTTGGAAAACTCCCACTACCCCTCACAACACCCTCCCACTTCTTTATCATTCCTCACCCCCCCTGCCCCCCACCCCCTCCAGCGGCTGAATTTCCCCTCCCCCAATTTGGTTGTCATCACACTGTTTCTTCAGCAACTTCAGCAAATGGAGTCTGATTGAAACATTAAAGCTAAAACTGTGAGGTATTGTAAAACTACAGTGATAAACCAAACTACTGGAAAGAGGAATATTATGCATGGTCATGGAGAGATAGATAAGATTATCAGAAAAATGCATGGGCAGTTTGTTCAGTGCCCTCTTGAGTCCTTCTCTCCAGCAAACTTTAACATGTTTGTTGTCTACAGCCAATCACAGATGCATTAAAAAAATCAACTCATAAGGTCTGCCATTAACCCCTGCAAAGGAGTGCACTGACTGGTCACCCTGATGTGTTTCAAGCACCATGCTCCTTATGCTGAAGGAGCTATGTTTCCGTTTGAGGAAATCTTTTAAAAGTTTGACTTGGCATCAACTTTCATGCTACAGGTACATGCACTATATTATTATTATTAAATTAATTCATCAATCAATCATTTATTAGTCCTCCCTCCGTCTTACTAAGACATTTTGGACAATTATATACTTCCAACTGGAGATGGGTTCAAGTCACACGTGCGAGTCTCACATACGTCTCAAGTCACCACCTGCGAGTCTCAAGTAAGCCCCAAGTCATGTAATATTCAACCCAGTGATTTTAAGTCAAGTCGTATGATAAGTTAATTAAACTCCCTTACTAATACATTCATATCTGCAGTGCCCGGTCTTCACAAAGAGAGAACCACAAATAAGGTCAAATAATTATATTATTAGCCCATATGTACAGCATGTATAACACAAGACAATGCACTTCAATGCAATACCACCTGTAGTTGAACATCTGGATGTCAATCAAAACGTGTTTTCCGCCCCAAAGAACTACAGATAAAGAATATGACAATATCTGTCTACGAAATATCTCGAAAAGTCATTTCCGTTTTTTGTACTTGTTGTTGCAAAGTGTTCAAAAGTATATTTAAAAGGAACCGTAAGCATACAGTACCTCCACGGGTGGATGATGTAAAGTAGGCCAGAGCCATCACAGGTCACGGTTGTTAATGGGCACTTGGGTCTTCCTAACCAAGCATTCGTGTCCGTGTGTGTGACAAACCGCAGCAAAACTTGCAGAGGCTGAAATAATTTGAGATTTCTGATAGTCAACTATAGTATATAATCTACATTAGGCTTATTTTATTACAAACACATTTTATTCATTACAGTGCAATGACATTCTAGAAAACAAAATTAATACAATTTGCCATTAAAGGATCCCCAGGGCTTAAAAGTGTGAGAGCAAGGCTCCGTTAACCATTCAGAAAAATTACTGTTCATCTACATCTAGTTTTCATCCTCTGCCTCATAATGTCTTCTTCGTATATCCCCTCAAACCAAAGAAAGTTGTAATTGGGAAAATATTATTAAAATACACAACATAATTGCTGCAGATATCCAATTTCCTCAGAAAAACATTGTCTCACAGTGTGTAGTTGCCAAGGCAATGGGTCTGTAGCACAACATTTACTGCTACTCCTATGCTGCAGACGGCTAAAGTACGCTCTTTTATTCTTTTAAATATTTTTATTGTCATCTAAGTCAGTCCTCACAACACAGTTCTTTATGACCCTCTAACAGACGGATGACTGGTTACTGTATATTTGAAATGTTTATTTAGTCGTATTTCTAAAGCTTTGTTTGAACAGGTGTTTTTGGCCACCGATACAGACAATGATACAGACATAAATACACATGCAAGAACACACACTCTCGGCAGTCAAAGTCTTATCTTATCCAGAAAGAGCAGCTGCAAAGTATGACCCAAGCTGAGCTGTTAATGATTGGTGTGTGTGTGTGTGTGTGTGTGTGTGTGTGTGTGTGTGTGTGTGTGTGTGTGTGTGTGTGTGTGTGTGTGTGTGTGTGTGTGTGTGTATGTGCGCACGGGTGTGATCTCTCCTCTTTGCCAACTGACATGAGCTCATTATTAGTGGCCGCGCTTTGATTTGTGAAGTTTAGCAAGTTGAATTTGAACATCTGCTGCATTTCAAAGTGGTTTCTATGTGAGCTACAAAAAACATGCACACACATTTCACAAGAGGTGACCATTAATAATGACAATAGTCTGAACAATAATAAAAAATAATCAGGTGCATGAGTACATAATAGTGTTCATGTGCTCACTGAAAAAAAAAACAACCAAATT